TGGACTAGCCCATTTACTCTTCTTCACTAAAATAGTAGTAGTATATTTTTATCTGCTACATAATTCAAATGATATACATATTCGTATACGGTAGAAATCAGGGCTACCACATTTCACTATTTGATTGAAACAAGGACGTTGCATCGAAGAGCTAAGGCATCGAGTTCGAGATCGAAGTCTCTTTCGAGATCGAGGTTGGTATCAATCGAAGACAGGGGAGATAGACTTCGAGTAACATCGGGGATAGATTAGTAACAGAAAAAAAGCAAGATATCAGTGATTGGTCGAGGATCGTGGCGTGGATCTCGGAACGGACCAAATCAGAAGCGATTAATTAGTTGTTTATACGATTTCCTTCTTTAATTAGAGACATACCATAATTAGGTTTCCTCTGCTATATAAAGAGGAGTTTCAATCATTTGTAGCGGGATCATTGACTGAAACAGAAGCAATATAGCTCTTCTTTTCTGACCCGTATTCTTGTTCATCAATTTATCCAATATTTACTGTTCTTATATTTTATCACCTCGAGGGTACCTTAATTCAAGGCTGAAGCTTTGTTTACATACTGGTTTGGATTATTTACAATTCAATTCTACCTCTTATTTCTTACTTATCGATTGGTATTGGGTGAAATCATATATCCTTAAAACCACATTATAAGTTTAATTGTTACTCGATTTTTAGGGTAAAAAGTTTGGCGCCCACCGTAGGGATAAGGATAATAGCGATTGTTCAGTGCTAATTCTGGTATAACACACTATTTTACACTTGTTTCTTTTCAAGAATTTTGTTTTCAGGTTGAATCATGTCAAACTCACAAAACGCATCTACACACGGCGGCAACAGCCTCAGACTCCATGGAGAAAAACAAGAATGTTATCGCCCCAGGAATCGAGGTGCCACAGGCTGACATCAAACATGCGCGCATGTATAATCATCTATTGAGAGAAGCATTTTTCCTTGCCGATATCTCCTGCCTTTACAAAAATTTCCTATTTTATACTCTTGATCTATTGTGTAAACAGGCTTAAGGGCCAACCATGACGGAAGTTCGAACAACTAACCCCACGCTTGAGGATTGCCATCCGAAAAGCAAAAGAAATCGAACTACTAAAATTTCGAGACCATAAGACCTTAAAGGCGACCCTAGATTTTACAGGCCACGGCCGCCCCACTCGGGGACTGACACTTCGGGCAAGCTCGAAGCGAAATGGAAAATAAGCCCAAAGGGCAAGTTCCGAACTAAAGAGGCTATGGCCAAATTAACGCGGATCGGAGACGTCCGAAATCTGTAACAAATACAAAAGCCCAAGGGCTATCTTAACCCGAGTTTGAGGAAACTCTCACTCGGGGACTATCTATAAAGCCTAAGGGCTAACTTTACTTCGAGTTCGAGCATATCCTCACTCGACTATAAAGCCTAGGGGCTAACTTTATTTCGAATTAGAGCAAATCCTCACTCGACTATGAAGCCTAAGTGCTAACTTCACTTCGAGTTCGAGCAAGTCCTCACGATCATAAAAGCCCAAGGGCTATCTTAACTCGAGTTCGAGCAAACTCTCACTCGGGGACTATCTATAAAGCCTAAGGGCTAACTTTACTTCGAGTTCGAGCAAATCCTCACTCGACTATAAAGCCTAAGGGCTAACTTACTTCGAGTTCGAGCAAATCCTCACTCAACTATAAAGCCTAAGGGCTAACTTCACTTCGAGTTCGAGCAAGTCATCACTCGATCATAAAAGCCCAAGGGCTATCTTAACCCGTGTTCGAGCAAACTCTTACTCGGAGACTATCTATAAAGCCTAAGGGCTAATTTACTTCGAGTTCGAGCAAATACTCACTCGACTATAAAGCCTAAGGGCTAACTTTACTTCGAGTTCGAGCAAATCCTCACTAGACTAACTTTACTTCGAGTTCAAGCAAATCCTCACTCGGCTGTTAAGCCTAAGAGCTACTCAAACTCTAGTTCAAATGGTCATTCGGGGTCCATCGATCTCGGTCAAAAGAACAAAGCCCCGAGTATGAATTTCTTCAAAGGTCTCCCTCCGAGACCGACACTTTGTGCGCTCCTTAGCCCGAACCTAAGCGGTTTCCTTTTGCGAAACAGTTTTAGATGTTTTGGCCATTTTGTTTATGTGAGCAAGGAAGAATGGAGATTGGAATATTTGGTATTTCAGGAAGAACAAGCAAAGAAACTCAAAGATTCATTTCTTGTCATTACACTCCAAAAAAACGAGGGAACTAGCTGTATACGGTAGAAATCGGGGCTACCCGATTTCACTATTTGATCGAAACAAGGACGTTGCATCGAAGAGCTAAGGCATCGAGTTCGAGATCGAGGTTGGTATCAATCGAAGCCAGGGGAGATAGACTTCGAGTAACATCGAGGATAGATTAGTAACGGAAAGAGCAAGATATTCGTGATTGGTCGAGGATCGTGGCGCGAATCTCGGAATGGACCAAATCAGAAGTGATTAATTAGTCGTTTATACGATTTTCTTCTGTAATTAGAGACATACCATAATTAGGTTTCCTCTGCTATAGAAAGAGGAGTTCCAATTATTTGTAGCGGGATCATTGACTGAAACAGAAGCAATATAGCTCCTTTTTTTTCTGACCCGTATTCTTGTTCATCAATTTATCCAATCTTTACTGTTCTTATACTTTATCACCTCGAGGGTGCCTTAATTCAATGCTGAAGCTTTGTTTGCATACTGGTTTGGATTATTTACAGTTTAATTCTAGCTCTTATTTTCTTACTTATCAATTTGGTATTGAGTGAAATCACATATCTTTAAAACCACATTATAAGTTTAATTTTTACTCGAACAATATTAACCCACATATCACGCACAACACTCTTACAATATTTTGCTCCATTCCTAAAACGAAAATGGTACAAATTGGGATAGGATGTTAGGACCGAAAAATCAGGTGTCACGCGGAAGCTAGCAAAGCAGACCTTGAACGACGATAAATCATACAATAAAGAGAAATATATTGAAAGAGACACAAACATATAACGTGGTTCGATCAAGTGACCTACGTCCACAACGGAGATGAGCAATCCACTTTAATAAAAGAGAGTACAAAATATCGACAGAACAACCTCACGAAGAGGCAAACACAAGTTACACACTAACACTTGTCCCGTAAAGTTCTGCCCCTAAACACGACTCTCAAACCTCATATGGCTACATTGTGGATGCTACTGAATGAGAAGGACGGATCTTTAATTTACACAACTCCAAATCTTTTCCTACAAGAAAAGTGACTAGCCAAATATGGAAGAATAATATTTTCCTTCTAGGAAAAAAAACTCAATTATGGTAAATATATTGTCCTTTCCTTCATGAGATAGGAAAATCAATTATGGTAAGAAAATCTAGACAAACACCTAACAATTCTCCCCCTTGGCCTGAATTTTCTGACAAAATAAACTTGATCCACCTTCTTCGCATAGCCTTCAACAGGGTCGCATCTCCAAATCTCCACTGCAAAGTTTGTCTCAACGTGCGTAGCACACTGGTCAAATTTCTCATACAAAAATCACGATTATAGTCAAATAGGTTGCGACTAGAACTGAACCCGCCAAGATGAACCTGTCTTGACCCTCGCTCTAATACCACTTGTTAGGACCGAAAAATCAGGTGTCATGCTGAAGCTAGCAAAGCAAACCTTGAACGATGATAAATCATACAATAAAGAGAAATATATCAAAAGAGACACAACCATATAACGTGATTCGATCAACTGACCTACGTCCACAACGGAGATGGACAATCCACTATAATTAAAGAGAGTACAAAATATTGACAGAACAACCTCACGAAGAGGCAAACACAAGTGACGCACTAACACTTGTTCCGTAAAGTTCTCCCCATAAATACGACTCTCAAACCCCATATGGCTACATTGTGGATGCTACTGAATGAGAAGGACGGATCTTTAATTTATAGAACTCCAAATTTTTTCCTACAAGAAAAGGGAGTAGCCAAATATGGAAGAATTGTATTTTCCTTCTAGAAAAAAACTCAATTGTGGTAAATATATTGTCCTTTCCTTCATGAGATAGGAAAACCAATTATGGTAAGAAAATCTGGACAAACACCTAACATAGGAAACCGTATATGTTTGTAGTTTGCGTTCCCTGGCTCATTCAATTTTGAATTTGAATGTCAATTCAAAACTGTAGAATGAGACAAGTGAAGATAATGGAAGTAGACTATTAACTGAACTATGATTAGAGAAACGAAAATTATCTTAAGAGAATTGCTACGATTTCCATGAAGCACTCAGATTATGCTATCCAATAATGTGGAAATGGGTGGAAACGAGTACTAATTATTTTTGGCGAACACAATTATTACTAGTTGAAAGTAACTCTTTTTCCATTTTTGAGAGGCATGATAGATGTCATCAATTCTATTGAAATTCAACATTCCCTATCTCATACAAATATCTAATGATGAGCATTTCAATCGCGAAAACTGGGAAGCATGAACAGTATGGCCCGAGCCGTTTCCATCACCAAATTAAACCATCATAGAAAGAAAGTACAGACCACTATCAAAGTTCCACACAAAATAAATTACTGATGAAGAATAAAAAAGGTAAGAAATAGAGAATCTGTAATATTAATATTATTTCACCATTTTACATATGCTCCACCACCAAAAATCATATTCGAATGATGGCATAAAGTAAAAGTGTAAACATCAGGAAGAGAAGTTAAAAATAATGGAATCGAGAAACAGAAGTGGCTTAGAGCTACCTAGCACTAAGACGAGAGTCCAAATTTATATCCATTTCCATGTTCTTGTTCTTATTGTCATTTTCCTTTGCAAATTTTAGGGAAGTATAATATATTGGTCGCAATTAAAAGAAGAAACTTTCAGAAAGTATTACTAGTTAATAAATTTTCTTTTTTGGCGTCGCCTGCAGATTAGGGTTTCCATGCCGTCGTTGCATGGTATAGCCATGCAGGGAGACGTTTATTAATGGCGGCGTGAGCATCTAGTGATTTGGAGGCAGCCGCGCCTGTAAGGTCGAATTCTCTGCATGCGAGTGCACTGGTAGTAAGATTGGCCGCGACGGTTGCACGGGATTGCGTTCCGACGCATCGCTTGATAACTAATGTAACGTTCGTAGCTGCTCCATAGGGTTCTTCGGGCCGACTCTGATGGCATCATCATCTCTTCGTCCCCAAATAAACTGTCCCCGACATGACCTACAGTCAAGTCATCTAGCCCACCATCAGTGCTGTGGCGGGCAAATGAAGTGACTGCAGCGTCACTAAAATGGGAGGAGAGCGATGATTCCGCCACCATGGCGAATGCCAGGGTGACGAGGAGCATAACAACAAATACTGGTCGAGCAACCATCTTCATTGTTAAACAGATGGGAAATGATTAATGCGACTTTTGACTTCCTTTATTTTTTATAGTTTGTGAGCTTTTTCTGAGCCCTTCCTTTCGAATGGAAACAGTGGGGGAAGATGAAAGGAGGGGTGAATGCTGAAGGTGAAAGGAAGAGGAAGAATTAATAAGGTGAAGCTTATTGTGGAGGCATGGGAATTAGTGGGCTGTGGAGGAGATTTTTTAGGTTTCAAACTTGTGGTTTTTGGCCTTTGAATTTCTGTGACTCTACGTAATTTACGTATTTACGTACGTGAGGAGAATTAGGCTAACTGCTAACTGCGAATCCTCATTTTTCTATGGTGCCATGGCAACTCAATATGCAACAATATGATATGTTAGTTTATTGACTTATTAGTGATGGAGCATACTTTAACTTTTTCTTTATTTTTAGTTCTCTTCCTCTCTTTTTTTTTCCTTCTCTTTTTTTGGCTGACATCCACTATTGTATTGTTTTATGCATGTGCAATTATGGAAGTAAATTTGGAACATAACGTAACTAACAATTCACTTTTTATTTGTTTGGTAGCTGAGAAATTAGGAATACCGACTTCCCCCATACTTGGCCGACAAGAACAATTAATGTGTTCTCTTGTACTTATGTGCGTGTGTTTTGTGTAATGACAGTATAAAATTGTTCAATTAAAATAAAGTAAACAAATAAAATTATAATTTATATTGATAGTATATAAAGCTCTTTACGCTATATCGGAATCAAAGGAAAGGAAATTTCATTCCTATATTATACAATTCCCCATAAAAAGAAGTATATGATCCCAAATAGGATACAGCTTAATGGAAAAGAAATACTCTTTGACCTCACAATTAGTACCCCCCCCCCCCCCCCCCAATAAAAAAAGTGGATAGCATGAAATTTATTGCGTCGCATTGGACCATACAAAATTTAGCCCATTATGCCTGCTTGACACATGAAGGATTGTGGATCATAAAACTTCTTGGGCCATTGTGAGTGCTTTATTTGGGATCGAATAAATAATAAGTACAACTGACTTAATTAAGAGCACCGAAATTGATAAATGAAATCCTTGCAACTAAGTCGTTAGTTGTGTATTGCAAGCTGTATGTATAACAATCTCCATATTATATTTAACCGTATAACTTCCTATATTTATAATTTACTAGTAGGATTAGTACATGGTGAACCAAACAACTTTGAATGTATCTGGAACGGGTCTCTCTCTATATACAGACGGAAAATGAAGCAAGTGAAAATCAAGACTGAGGACAACGGCTACGGTTGGCACCGGGTAAATCCTGAAGGGAACATCATCAACAAGAGCATACGAATGTTTGTCATCAGATGACATACAATGAAGAATATTCCTCAGTATTAAATACGCAACCGTTATAAATAGAGAATTTTGTCATTCATGACCTTCCGTTACACATTCATCAATTGCCCCCATTATTGTCATTTAAGAGGGGCTTGATCGTAGGACCTTGTCCCCTAGGTATGGCTATAAAAAGCGGCTTCAACAACCATTGTAACACAAAAAAATTCTGACAAACTTACACTACACACTATTCCCAAGCTAAATAGTAACACTTTATTTTGTGTCTAACGTTATTCTTTGCTGCCCTCGGAAGCCGTGCTCCCGGAACCAAGCTATCTGCTATTTATCTCGATTTCAACACTAAGTCTTGCATTTTATTTAATTTATTTATCATTTTGGGATCAAATCGATTCGCTTGTCTATAAACCACGCAATAAATTTAATTGTACCGTTTTACGGGTAAACAGTTTGGCGCCCACCACAGGGCTTAGACAGCTGCGTAATTGAGTTGATCCTTGCATCCATTACTAACATGTTTTATTCTTTGTTTCTTAGCAAAAATCGTAAACAAATGACAGCTAACAATGTCAACATCTCACATAGTTGAGGCACAAGAAAATCTATCTCAACATGAGGATTCGATCAGTGACACCCGCAACGAAGAGGATGTAGCAACGCCGGTTCATGGTAGGCGATATCCTTGACATGTATGGGAGGCGACTCCTGATGATGCTGAAGACGAGCACGTTGCGGAAACATTGAGAATCTTGAGAGAACAAGAAAAGACCATCATGGGTCATCTCTCAGGCAAGACCAAGCCATGATAATGTTGTCAGGTGCTTTCAACAACGCGAATAGAAGAGGCTATGTTCCTCCCGTTGCTCCCACAAATCAAACAGCGCAAAGGATTGATAACAACACCCCAAGGGGTGAGGTCGACTTTGAAGGGGCCGGGGGATCGGCAGCAGATCTGGTAATGACAACAACAATGTTCCCTTCAAAACCAAGCTCATGCGGTTCATGAAGGGAATGAACGAGCGGATGGACCAGAATGCGAAAGAATTCCACGCTCGAATGGACAAAATTTTGGGCTCACCACCAGCGTTGAAGGGCCGGACTCAAAGAAGTACACCTAGTTGCCGTTCAAACCGAGCGCAGAACTAGAGTTGATTTAGAAGCGATTCAAAATGTCAGATGTATCAAAATATGATGGGACTTCGGACCTTTAGGAGAACATCAAAACCTATACAACAGCGGTGAAAGGAAATGACTTGGCTCAACATAAGATCGAGTCGGTCATGCTGAAGAAGTTCGAGAAATCCTCACAAAGGGGGCCTTGACACGGTAATCACTCTTACACAAACACTCAATAGATTCCTTTGAGATGCTCGCAGATTCTTTCATCAAGGCCCATGCCGGAGCCAGGAAGGTCCAGGCTCGAAAGGTGGACATATTCAGAATTTTGCAAGGAGAGTCCGAGTTGCTGTGTGAGTTTGTGATCAGGTTTCAAATGAAAGGATGATGTTACTGGCCGTGCCAGATGAATTGGCAGCTGAGGCATTTACTAAAGGGTTGAATCCAAGGAGCTTCGAAGCCTCCCGAAAACTAATAGAGAGCCTACTCGAGTTCCAGGCAACCACATGGGCGGATGTCCATAACCGTTTTGAATCAAAGATAAGGATAGAAGATGATCAGCTCGGAGTCCCCACATTAACTAAGGGTCGGGATCGAGAAAAGAACAGGGATAAATCAAAAGATGATTTTGATACAGATCGACGATCTTCTAAGGGTCGGTTTTTTCCCTATGAAAGGTCCGAAGGACGCATCAGCAGAGGGTTCCAGCCAGCGGATAGGTTCGCTCCCAATAGAAGAACTAATCGTGGCCAGGATAGCAGGTCATTGATAGACAAAGAGGTATCGTGCTCCAAGGATTCCACTTATCCCAGGTTGTCAGAGTATAATTTCAATGTAAGCGTAGTAGAGCTGGTATCAGCTATGAGAAACATCAAGAAAGCGTGGTTCCCGAGGCCAATGAGGTCAGATTCCATCTAGAGGGATCCTAATTTATGGTGCGAATACCATGGGACTAATGGCCACCGAACCAGGGACTGCCGACATCTGCGCGAGAATATGGCAACGCTATTAAAGAACAGCCATCTTAGGGAATTCTTAAGAGACTGGGCTGAGAACAATTACAGCCGTAACTGAGACAATGTAGAGCCTTCAGAGATAGGGGAAGATCCTCCTCGACTAACCATTAGCATGATTTTTTTTGGGGGGGGGGGGGGGGACGAGATCAACGGTGTAACCTTCTCGGCAGCAAAAAAGACATAGGTATCGGTGACTTATAGCAAGAGACTCCGGAAAGTCACTGAGGACGATATCACCTTCACAGAAGAAGACGGCGATGGACTTCTACTGCCACACAACAATGCCCTGGTAATTTATCTTAACGTTCTAGATTTCAAGATTAAATGTGTTTTGGTCGACCCAGGATGTTCAACCAACATTATTCAATGAAGAGTGCTGGAACAAGCTAACCGAAAGCATCACTCCGATAACAAAACTATTCGTCGGGTTCAACTTAGCAAGTGTGACAACCCTAGAGGGAGATCTTGATGCCCACGAATGCTGAAGAGGTCATGAAGACTACCTTATTTGAAGTAGTAGACGGCGGCATGGGCTACAACATAATTTTTTGTAGACCATGGCTACATGAGATGAAGGTCGTACCATCAACGTATCGCTAACTTTTCAAATTCCCAACTCCACAGGGAATCAAACAAATATGAGGAGATCAACCAGCAGCAAGGGAGATGAACACGGTCTTGGTTTCCAGTAGTAAAGGGAAGGAACACAAGGCATAGCAGTTATAGGAATCAACGCCTGCTCCCGAACCAAACGAAGATGACAAAGGGGAGGAGCCATCGGAATCCCACCAGATTACCAAGATACTTTCAGGTACCGAAAGAAACGGACACTACCAAGTACACGGCGGAAGAGCTCGAACAAGTGCCGTTGTTTGAAAAATTTCTAGAAAGGAAATTTCACTTGGGGACAAGACTAAACCCCGAGCTCAGGTCAGGATTTATTAAATTTCTTAAAACTAATGTTGATTCTTTACCATGGTCGCATGTGGATATGACAGGTATCCCGCTAGAGGTGGCTGTGCACAAGCTAAGCTTAGACCCAAGTATCCCACCGATAAGGCAGAAGAAGTGCCCGATTGCCGAGGTCAGAAATAAGTTTGTTAAAAAGAGGTAACTCGATTGCTCAACATCGGTTCAATCCGGACGGTAAAGCATCCCGAGTGGCTAGATAACGTAGTAGTAGTTCTGAAAAAGAATAATTCAGTATGTGCATAGATTATAAAGATTTGAATAAGGCGTGCCCAAAAGATTTGTTCCCACTGCTAAACATCGATCAAATGATTGATGCAACGGCCGGGCATGAGTTTATGAGTTTCCTTGATGCCTATTCCAGGTACAACCAAATTAAGATGAACCCGAAGGATTTGGAAAAAAACTTCGTTCATAACGAACTTTGGCACGTATTGCTACAATGTTATGCCCTTCGGGCTTAAAAATGCCGGAGCCACTTATCAGAGGTTCGTGAACAAAATGTTCAAAAAGCAAATAGGGAAAAATATGAAAGTGTATATAGATGATATGTTGGTCA